GAGGTGCATGTGCAACAGCAGCAGGCCCCTGCATAACCCTAGGGTCATGCAAGGGCGAGTCCAGGGGCTGCATGCAAGCTGGAGAAGCCTTTGTACGGGCTTAAACAGGCGCTGCAGCTTAGTGCTCGAATTCGGTGGCCTATTTTAGTGTATTCAGGTCCTTAAGGGCACTTAGGACTCTTAGCCAGTCATGGTATGCTGAACTACTCTGCGGAGCATAGCAAAGCGAGGGTGGGGCTGCTTTAAATTGTGACACAGTGGCCCAATACGACATAACTGATAACGGAGCCTAAGTCCACATGACATTCACCGCGCCTAGAATTGAGAGCTATCGGGCCTGTTTGGGGTCGTAATAGTCACACTTTAACAACTGGCGTGCGTGATACAACTCCATAATACAACTCGATCACGTATCCCAGTGGGTCAGTCGGCATACAACATGTGGATAGCTGCGGAGTTCACCCCCAAGTAGGGCTAACAATGTACGACAATAATGTACGAGCACTACACCAGGGGTAAGGGTCTACAGGGGTCTGCACACTGCTGCACCACCCGCGAGGTGTGCTTGTATGTATGTATGATGTGTGGGACAGGGGGTCATATCTTCACCCTGCGGCAGATATATACGGCGAAACCCTGCCTTCCCCGGTATTTCGGGGCACCCTCATCTAGTCACCCTGATCATCTTCATAGTGGATCGCTTAGGTTCCGCACCCACCACCGGCATCCAACGGAATCTGCCGGATTGACGGTGGCCCAACTCCATTCCTGGTGGGCTCGCAAGTCAACTTTATCGCAGGTCACCACCGTCCATCAACTGGGGGGGCACTTTACTCTCCCCCACCGGAAGGTCTTTCGACCCTGATAGGTCTCGTTCCCGAAACCTCCCGGGGACGATGGTCCGTGCCCTACCAGTAGTGCCTAACCTTGTATGTATCTATGTATGTACGTATGTATGATGCGTGAAACAGGGGGGTATATCTTCGCCCGTGGCAGCTACCCTGCGAATCCCTGCCCTCCCCGGTATTTCGGGGCACCCTCACCTAGTCACCCTAGTCAACTTCTCAGTGTATCGCTCAGGTTCCGCACCCACCACCAGCATCCAACGGAATCCGCCGGTTCGACAGCGGCCCAACTCCAACCTGGTCGGCTCGCAGGTGAACTTTATCCCAGGTCACCATCAACAAGGGCCACTTTTACCTTCTTTGGGGGCGCATTACCGTCCATCAATGGAAGGGTATTCGACCCTGTCAGTTCTCGATCCCGGGATCTCCCGGGGATATTGGTCGGGCGTTACCAGTAGTGCCTAACCCTATAAATATACGTGTGTAGATGTACATGACTGTTTTCCTTCTTGGAGTGCAATATTTGGAGCGGAATACCGCAAGAAGTGTTGACTGGTGGTTGAGTAGGCCTCTACCCGAAGGAGCGATGAACTAACTGCACTAAGAGAGCGTTTGATGAGCGGCTGGGACCATACGCGTCTGACTGTCTTGCCAGAGGAGTACCCATCAGATGGGAAGCAACCGGGAGTGCAAATGGCGAAGTATAAGCACTGGATGGGGCTGCCCTTTTCGGGAGCCGCAGCCGCCATGTGGCCAACACATGCTAAGGTTTTCATTCCTCGTTTAGCACATCGTAAGCTAATGCAGTTTCGTTTATGTTGCTGGGCTCTGGAGGCAAACAGAGCACGGAGAGGCAAGTACCATGTCCCCAGGGGGCAGCGGTTTTGCCGCTGTTGTGGTACTAATAGCCGAATCGAGGATGACAAGTCGGGTGTCGGCTTCCTCGAAGCCGGAAAAAGGGCGGGGCCCCCCTGCATCCGTACAGGCCGGTAGCTAGCGCGGCACGTGTGACAATTGATGGGTAGTGTCAACGCGGTGGGAGATGTGCTTTGTTGCAGCAGTACTGATGGTGTGGGAGCTAAGCTTGCACCGGCGGAATCGTCAGCACCGCCTGCGGGCTCCACGCGAATCGCATCCATCCCGGGTGCATGCCGCATGGACAGTGCGGCAGACCGCAAGTCGGAATGCCCGTGCGGGCAAATTGGTAACGCAAGCTGAGTGAAGTTCGGTGCTGTCTGTGATGTTTATCCCCGAAGCGCCAGCGGCCTCAGCAATCCGCCCCACAGCCGCAAGCTTCATCGCGGCACACCGCAAGTCTCCGGAGGCCCCGAGCATTGGCTAAAGTAAATGTACAAACGAGCAGCTTGCGTAATTCATAGAGAAATGTAAGCAAATTTGTCGGCCTGCTGGTGGCAAGTCGGATTGCCGTGTGGGCAAATTGTAACACAAGCTGGGTGTTCAAGTTATCATACGCTGTCATCTCGGAAATCAATGATGAATACACGGCACGTTTTTGAGATGAAATATAGCCCGAGAGGCGTTGAAGTGACTTTTGAGGTCGGTGAATGGAGGCAGCTAAACTTGTTTGTGCTCATACGGTCATTGTTAGCTACATGCGAGATACCTTGCAATAGAGAATGCTGTATAGTACCGATAACGCGTTTCAGCCGGGCGAGATATTATGTTTGGTCCGTTACACACTCAAGGCCTGGGAGTTCGAGTTATCATACGCCGTCATCTAAGAATTCAAATATGAGATACGCGGTACCTTTCGGGATGAAATTTAGCGCGAGAGGCGTTGATGTGACTTTGGCCTCGGTCAATTGAGGCAGCCAAACTTGTTTGTGCTCATACGATTTTTGTTGGCTATATGCGAGATACCTTGCAATAGAGAATGCTGTATAGTACCTATAACGCGTTTCAGCCGGGCGAGATATTATGTTTGGTCCGTTACACACACACACGATCCTACAGGTCGGGGGCCCCCTGGGCGCTTCGCGCTGGGGCCCCGCCCAAAAAACACGTGTTATTGGAATGCCCAGCCTATAATGATATTCGTGCTGAAGAGGGATTCGATCATGAACAGAGCATGTTTGGAGGCCATGCAATGGGAACCAGCACGTCTGGCGAGGATGTTGGAACGTATGTGGGCTTACCGAAACTCAGTTACCCCCTTTGGACGCTAGTCTGGGCTGATATGCGGTGTTTTCCTTTCCTCCGTGGCTTTTAGGCGTTGTAGTATTGCCCTTGGGCCTTCGGCTCGTATGGGTAGTCTTACAGGTATGGGGTCACGCACCCCCAACCATGTAACACACACATGTATTTATGTATGTACGTGTGCTTCTATGTGTGTATGTGTTAGTACGCCTCTCTGCAGTTAAGGGGTCTGCACCGTCTTTGGGGTTGTTAAGGGTGCTGAAGATTTGGCAGTTGTGGTGCTGCAGAGCGAGGACGGAAAGCTCGCCCTTCGCAAGGAGGGCTGCTTCGCTACAATTCGCTGCTTCTGTTGTTCTTCTCTGACTGATTTCCGCTATCATAACGCTATGAGCGTATCTGTACAAGCGAGTTGTACAATGCCCTGAGATCGTCCACGGCGATGTGTCGGTTTCGGTTATGAGTGGTTTTCGGGAGTGTTGCAGAATATTGTCTTAACAACACGACTAGTTGGAGCAGAAAGGGCCAGTGGACGAAGGTATTGTGCACCTGCACTGAACGCTGAGGTGCGCCTTCACAGGGCTTCGGCGCACCAGCGTTTGGAAGACGAGTACCTTTGGTCGATCAGGCGCGGTGTCAGTACTGCAGCAAAAGTCCTATCTTCTCAACAGCCGGCGATCCTATCCTTGTTACTGTATTTTGCGCTTCTTTTGCGGTCCCTGTAGATGTAACTGCGCGGTTTTTTGGGTCTTGCCGCTAGTGCCGTCTGCGAGTACCTTTGTAGCGAGCTGCCATGTCGCAAACTTTGACCAGTTCAAGGAACGCTAACAAGGAGACCCAGCGGACTTTCGATCGTTAGAGTAAATTTCCCATTTTGAACACTGAGGCGTCGTGTAACCGGTAGCTGCCCACTCTCTGTCTTTGCAGTACAGCAGCGGTAACCGAGCAGTTGGTGCTGCGCCAGGAGGCAGCGGACCTATTCCCTTAGCTTATTTGTAAGATGAATTACGAGCTCATAGGATCGGCATGACTGAGGATGTCTGTCATAGGGGTCCCCATTCGCCAGCCGTGAGCACAGCGAGAGTCGCTGCTTAAGGCTTAGGCTTAATAAATTGCGCATAAATAATCAATGCGTTAGTGTAACAGCTTAAGCGTAAATCAAGGCTTGGGTCTTACTCAATCACAGCGAGGAGCAAGGAAATGTTTTTGCTCGACATGCTACCTTCCTATGAAAACCATTTAAGTGGATAACACATCATCGAAGAAGTTTTTATGCGGGCCCCAGCCATGACGTAGTACGGTTGTGAATATTGTTACCGTGCTCCTTTCATTTGCAATGCCCGCGATCCCACCTAGAATAACTGGTGATCATTGGCACACTGCAATACGGTACAAGAGATATCAGTAAGAGCTGCCATGTTGGACCGTCACTTCCATCCTTCGCGAGTTCTGCTGTAGGAATACTCGGTCTTGGATTAATTATGTTTAACTTAATTCAGGATTGCCTTTGAGGAATGTCCATCAAACTGAGGGCCTGCGTATTTTTCAGCGGACCTCAAATAGTTTGGCAGTTTGGACGCGAGGAGCCTGGGCTTTAGCCCTCGAGTCCCTCCATGGGTTGTTTTAACTCTAAGCTGCGCCCGCTCGGGCACGCGGATAACCCACTTGCTACGCATCGAGAAGTAAGGCGATGTTTGTGTGAAATGAGGACCCGGTCCCGTGCTTTCAGTTCTTTTGAGGAGCTAAATGCATGCACAAAGCATCTTTTCACAGTCTTAAATTGATGGCGTAATGCTTTACCTTGGCGTAGGCGCAGACATCGTCGCCTCTCCCTAGCATTGCGTTATCGCAGCGAAAATCAGCGGAGTCGAATCTCCAGGGCGTCAAGGCAAGTTTGGGTTCGGGACCATGGATCCTGGCAAGTGGAAGTGTCCTTTGTGGAAGGGGCCTTCCCAGTCTCTAGTGTTCTTCTTGCGCTGATACTACGTTGTCTTTCTTATCATGCAGCTTTATGGAGTCGCAACTGCCGGGGATCCGGCGCTGCTGTTCTCTCGGCTCGTCATCGCACGAGGACACATTCTTGCGGCCGTTTTTGAGGGCCACATCTCGCCTTCTGCAGCCGAATACTGCCGCAGCCACTGTTGGGAAGCGTTCGTGCAAGCAACCGCGAGCCGTCAGCAGACCCCCGCGGCAGCGACGGTGAGCATTGTTGGGGCATTGGCTCGCGGTGCGGCTCGCGGCGCCCGGGGCCCCAACATATACAATCCTTTTCCTCCTCACATCAGGAAACGTATCCCCGCACACCTCCCCCATCACCGCCTTCACCATATGCCTGACTGGCCCATGCTAGGCCTTGGGGCAAAACCCTGCTTCTACAACCTCGCTCCTGAACACATCTCCTAGCATTCTTCCTCTATGCTCCTGTCCATTTTTCACCGCATTTTTTAATACAGATGTATACGTACGTAATCCGCACGTAAATTTGTTTGCTTTTATTGTGTACTTGCACTCCGCATCGCTGGCCCCTGCCCCGCCCGCTGCATCTTGCCACCGGCTCGACCTTGTCCTTCGCAATCGCTCCGTGTCTTTATCCGACGTGTTTTCCCGTTTCCCCCCCTTCAACCCCCTTGCGTAACCCCCCTCCCGGCACCTTGTGTGTTGAACTGACAAGTCCTTGTTTCGAAGTGAAGGGATTTTTTAAGGGTTTTTTTTGAAGAGCCGGATTGTCCGTGGTTGTGGTGGATGGGGTGGATGGGGTGGATGGAACGAGTAGAAGAGGCAGTGCGAGAAGGGGAGGGGCAGGACAAAACTGATGGAGGGGAAGAAATTGGTAATCTTAGCCGTCATGTCGTCACGTTGTGGGGGGGAGGGCCCTCTTTTCTCCCCCTCCCAATACACACAAAAAACACACCCGACGTGACCACCTCAATAAATGTGACGATGCCACTCGGCGGCGAAACATAAAAAAACGCCGCCTTCCTCCCCCATTTCAGTTCTCCCCTCCTCCTCCTCATCATCATCATCGTCATCGCCATCACCATCCCGTAAAACCCCCACGCCCCTCGCCCCGTCTTGGGCCTCCCAGTCCCGCCCAGTCCCCAGTTCCTGTGTCCTTGCTGCCTTCTCCTTCTCTTGCGGCTTCACCCTCCACCCACCGCACGGTGCCGTGTGTCCGCATACCCCACGCTACCCCCCACACCCGCTCTCATCCCCCCGTACTTCAATCTCTGCACTAGAAGCCCCCCTCCTTTTCCCTCCCTTCCCTTCGTTCATCATCTCGGCCCCGCAACATCCTCTTCTCCCCCTTTGCTCCCACCCCTTCCACCCCGCCCCACCCCCCTCCCACCCGCCCACCACCGCCATTCTGGTATACAGCTCCGCGCTCTGGACCGGGGCTTCCTCACCTGCTCCAAGCATTCCCTGGAGTCCCGCCTCTCCAGCGGCTGCAGTGCCACGCTCCTCCACATCGACCTAGCCACCCGCACCGTCACCACAGCCTCCGTGGGTGCACACGGGGCTGTAGGCCTGGGCAGTAGCACTAGCACTAGCAGCGGTGGCGTTCCGGGGGTAGGCCGCAGCACAGATGGTGGCGGTGGTGGAGCTGCCGTCACGGTGGCGGCTGATGCGCCAGCAGCAACAGCATCAGCAGGGCGGCGGGGAGTGCGTGGGAGCGCGGGCGTGGGGGCAGCTGCGCTTAGGACGCATCACCGAGTGTACGGCGGGCCGTTGACTTGCTTTGTGACGTTGGAAAACCCCAGTGCGGAGTGCAGGTGGGCACGGGGACGGGGGGACGGGGACGGGGGGGGGGGCGGAAATCATACGATGCAAGGAAACGTGGAATGAACTGCCACAAGGCGTTCAAAGCTCTCGCAAAACTGCCGCTAGTGAGTGAGTCCCAAGCGACCAAGTAACGACCCGTAGTGCCGGAAGTAATAAAGCCCCATTACTACGTTACCGACATTTTCGTGTTGTAGTCGTCGTCTGGTGTCGCGAGATTGTCGTTACGGTCCTTGATGGTGAGGGGCAAGCCTGTGGCTAACTTTGTCATTAACTCGAACGGTAAATGCGACTTCTTACCCGGCACCTCAACTCGAAGGAAGCAACGTAAAGCTGCAGACTTACCTTGATTTCGCATGGACAGTGGCCACACGACGATTCCGCAGGAATGATGATTTATGACAGCATGCGAAAGAAGCGAAAGAGGGAGGGGAGGGAGGGGAGGGGAGGGGAGGGGAGGGGAGGGGAGGGGAGGTTGAAGAGCTAGGCACGCAGGCAGCCGGGCCCTGGCGTGATGAGGATGGAGGGGAGGGGGTGGTGGTGTGGGGGGTGTTTCGCACAGCTACTTTTACTCCTTTCACCACCCACCCCTCAATTCATGGACGCGTTTTTCCGTTTCCTATCTTCCTATATCTGCACGTCAGGCGAGGTCTATCCGGGCTGGTCGATCTGGTCCAGTCCGCCCTCACACCTCAGGGACAGCAGCAACAACAGCAACAACAGCAACAACAGCAACAACAGCAACAGCAGCAAGGCGCTGCAGCACCCGGGGTCCCGCAATCGCTGCCGTCCCTGGATCCCTCCGCCCCCGCGAGCATCGGCTCCGGGGCATCCGGCATCGGCGGCACAGCGTCGTTCGTACGGCGTATTGCGCCCGCCCCGGTGCCCCCGGCGGCGGCGGCGGCGCATTATCCCCAGGCCCTGGGATTCGGCTGCGCCAAGGACCTCCCGGTGCTGGTGGCGGCCTATGAAAACGCGGCGAACGCGGCAGCGGCGGCAGCGGCGGCAACGGCGGCGGCGGCGGCAGCCCATGTACACGCCCAGCCTGCGGGCCGCTTCGGCGCCGCCAGCCGCCACCTGCACTGCGGTTGCGAAGTGCGGGTGAGCTCTCGGCCGCTGGCGGCAGGGGACGAGTGCCTGGTGTTGTTGGCGGGTTGCGGCGGGGCTGGCGGCCGTACTGCCAGCGGTGGTCTCGGGGCGCGAGCTGGCGGGAGGGGCAGCAGCGGAGCCGGAGGCGTCGTCGCCGCCGCCGCCGCCGCCAGCATGAACAGCGGTGCAGGCGGCGAAAGTAACGGCGGCGGCAATGCCTCGGCCGCACGCAGCGGCGGCGCCGTCGCTAGCGGCGCAACTGGCAGCGGTGCGATTAGCAGCGGCGGCGCCAGTGGCGGCTTGATTGGCTCCTCTGCATTATTGCCGCTGCCGCTCCCCTGCGCGTGGGCCCCCGCGGGGGCTCTCAGCGCCGCCGACGCCGTATCTCTCGCGCACGAGCTAGCGGCGGCGGCGGCGGCGTGGCCCCCAGCGGTGAAGGAAGGCGGTCGTGGTGCCAGCAATGTTGGTGGTGCTACAGCTGCTAACTCTGCAGCGTCAGTGGCGGTGAGTTCGCTAACACGTGCACGTCAGGAGGTCTAAGTAACAAGTCACAAACGTTTCGCACAAGTGCGGGAGTGGTGGTTCCGTCAAAGTCGGGAGGCCATGGACTAAATATATTGAGTCTAAGTCTAAGTAAGCGTTTGGTTTTGTTGGGTTTGTAGGTATGTAGGTATGTCCCAGCGGCAATCTACATGTACACATATGTAAGTGCGTATGTATGTATGCATGAATGTATAGCCGATATGAAGCCTGAGACATATTATCATCAGCTCCCCCCGCAAGCGCTATGCATGGCGGGTGGGGCCCACAACGACATGGCGTTCATTACTACTCTGCCACTGATCATGAAGATCAGTGTAGCTGCAAAACACAGACCGGGGGCCGCACAACCCCAGCCTTCAGGGTCTCTTCCTTCATCTCTCATGTTTATTATCTCTCATATTTATTATATTTATTGTTATATGTATAACCCTACACTCTAAACTAATCTATCTATCCATCTATGTATGTATGTATGTATGCGCCCGCCGTGGTGTCGTGCTTGACATTGATATGGTATGTTAATGGATCATCCGGCTGTCGGCTGCCGTACAGGCGGTACGGCTCTGGGGCCCCGCCATGGACGACCGCTTCGGAGTCCTGTACGACAGCTACGACGCTGAGGCGACGGCAGTAGCTACCGCCACGCCGACGCCGACGGCGGTCAATGACTCGTCAGTTGGTGATCGGAGCGCCATGGCGGTTGCGTCGTACGCTGTGACTGCAGCGCTCCGAAACCGGGGGGGATTGGGCGGTCTTGTTCGAGGCATGGGAGGTGAGCCCTGGGTGCCTGTGGGGTGTATGTGCGTTGTGTGGATACATACATACATACATACATGTCTCCTATTCGCCCTCCTGCAGCTTCGGCTCCTCCCGCCACGCCAGCGAGTCTCTCCGCCGCTTGCATCACGATCTGGCTGGATTGGGGGATAGCGGCGCCGGAAGGGGCCGCTGCCGCTGGCGGCGCCGTCGCCCGTCCGGCCACATCCAGGATTGAAATGCGGCCACCGCCGCCGCCACAGCAACTACCGCGTGCCGCTGCTCGTTGGGACCTCCTTCGCGCTTACTGCCGCTTCGTGGTGGCGAGGCGGCGGCGGATCATTGCCATGTGGCATGCGCTGGCGGCGGCGGTGGCGGCGGCGGCGCCGCAGCGGCCGTCGCCGTCAGCAGCCGCGCCGTCGCCGCTGGCGCAACAGATTGCGTCTGTGCTGTCTCTAGGAGCCGGCGGAGCGGGGCAAGCCAGCTTCGAGTCATGTACGGGTGGTGGTACGGCAACGGTGATGAATCGTACCGCGTCGTTTACCTCTCGCCCTCCGGTCATGATGGAGTTTGTGGAGGAGTTGCCGACACCGGCGTCGTCGGGGGCCGTCGTCGGTCGTCATGATCCTTACGGGGGCAGCGTCATGGCGGCGGCGTCTGCCGTCACTGCGACGGCGGCGGCGTCTGCCTCCGCGGCCATCGGCAGCAGCATGGCCACCGCCGCAGCCAACGCTGCTGCAGCCACTCTCGATGAATCTCACACTCACTCGGCTTCCGCCGCCGCGCCGTACGGTATCAGCGGCCTCGTCATGGCGCCCATGGGTAGTACGGAGGACATGGACGTTGCCGACGGCGACGGCGACGCCGGCGGCTTTTCCGTCGAGGCCTCTACAGCGCAGCCGCCGCCGCCGCCGCCGCTGCTCTCCCAGCGAAGCTTCGTGATGCCGTATCCGCTCGGCAATCGCTCCGTTATGGCCGCGTTGAGCTTGCGGCCTAGCCAATCCATGTCGGACTTGAATAACCTGGAAGCTAAAGCACGAGCTCAGAGCATTAACCCTCGTGAGCCTAGCGTGTCTAGGCACGGCAGCGACGGCGGCGCCGCCGCCGCCGTCGCCGCCGCCACCACAAATGAGTCGACCTCGTGTACCGACCTGGCGGCGCCACACGAGGCGGAAGCGCACTTGCCGTACCACAGGTACTACAGTAACCAGATGTCGACGTCGTCCGCAGCGTCCACCGCTGGCTTCGGCGCTGGCGCTGGCGGCGGCGGCGGCGGCGGCGCGTCCGGCTCCCATTTCGACTGGTCACTGGTGATGACCTCAGTACAACAGAGTTCCGATTCGCGGTACGAAAACTCGGCGGGGCATACGCCCATCCCGTCTACCGCCGCGAACCGATTCGCCTCATCTTTAGGTTATGGCCACGACGGCGTGGCGGCGGCGGCGGCGTCGCACCAGATGACGTTTGGCGGCGGCGGCGCCGTCGCCGGCGGGCGCAGCCCGGCGGGCGAGTCCCACGCCGTCGTCGGGTCGGGGGGGTACCTAGCCATCCCTGGCGGCGGCGGCGGCGGCGGCGCCAATACCCGTCTGCGCCAGAAGTCCTCGGCGCCGCCACCGGGGTCTGTCTCATTCTCATCGTACGTCAGTCGTGACGCCCTGAGTGCGGCGTCAGTGGCGGCGGTGGCACCGCCGCCGTCGGTTCGTACGAGCAGCCGCAGCGACTCCGTCGGGAGTGGCGGCCCCAGCGTGGGTCGCGTTGGAGTGGGTTCCCTCCTCCTCCCGAGCTCCTCAGGCTGCTCACTGGACGTGCAACCAACGCCAGGTGGGGATATTTAGGAGGGTTGAAAATTATTCACCACTTTTATTATTTCGCAACGGGGGAAAACACCATTTTTTCGGGGTGAAGCCTGTATAGTTTGTAAGGTGTATTTCGCACAACAATAGAATGGCAATAATGGTTTGTTTTAAGTTTTGTAAATTTGTTTTTCTTACTTTTGTGGGTTGTGAAATCTAATCGGATGTCATTGAGTCATTTATTGTTGTTGACTGGGTACTGGGTACTGGATTGCACTTCGGACGTTTGAAGCTGTGCCATGTTTGGCTGTTTTGCAGCTTCATCACTTACCATGTGACTCACACACTCGCTCATACACCCTCTCACATGCAGATTATCTGGTCTCGCCCTCGCACTCGCGCTCGCATTCGCCCTCGCCCTCGCATTCGCACTCGCACTCGCATTTGATTTCGCACTCGCGCTTGCATTCGCACTCGCACTCACACTTACACTTACACACTCACACTTACACACTCACACACTCGCACTCACACACTCGCACTCGCACTCGCATTCGCATTCGCACTCACACTCGCACTTACACACTCACACTCACACTTACACTTACACACTCACACTTACACACTCACACACTCACACTTACACACTCACACACTCACACACTCACACACTCGCACTCGCCGTACCTCTTCCACAGGTATCGTTATCGGCCGTCGTTCCGCCGGCGACTCTGACGGCGACGACTCAACCTCCCCCGCCGCGGCCGCCAGTGCCGGAGACGCTGAGACGGAAACCGAGCTCATAAGTGAGGATCTCCCGCAGTTGCGAATCGAATCGACCGCCGAGTTGGCGGCGCTCATGGCGGAGATCATCATTACGGATGACGGAGAGGTGGTGCGCGGCGCCGGCGGCGCCGCCATGCCGCCGCCGTACAACAGCCGCAGCCACGGCCTGCACGTTGGCGGTCTCCACTCACATAAAGGCAGTCGGTCGCTTAGTCGACAGGGGAGCCGGGGCTGGCAGCCGCGACTTGCGATCGTACGGGAGGACGCCCGGGAGGTGGGTGCGGGTTTTAGGTTCTTGGGCGCTAGAGAACCCCGGGGGCGTTGCCGGGTAAATATGTACCATTGAAAATACTGGGGCTGTTCAAAATGTGCGAATGTCGTACATATTGTCGTATTTTGCCGTAACCTATTGTGTGTGGACTGTAATGTCGACAATGGACACTTGTTTTTTGGTGCTCACATATACATTTTTTTGTGTATCTTACTATTCATAGCGTTTTTGGACACCAAAGCATACAGAATCAAGAAGCTGGGGGTGGGGGTTAGGCGGCTTGTTGGGGTTTGGCGGCTTGTCTATCGGTCTGTCAGTCTGTCGGGACAACGGGGGAACGGGGACGATAAGTGGAATTTTGTAGGGGGTGGGAAAGATGGGGCTGAGGGTGAAACTCCCCCCTTGCACTTCCTAAAACAAACTCAACAATGAATTGATGAAACATTAGATGGCATAGCAGTGTAATAGTATAACAGGATAATAGTATAGTAATGTAATAGTATCCGACCACCTCGCCCATTTTCTGTTGTTACCTGGTGCCAAACGCACGATATCATGTCGTACGCCGTTTCGTACGGCGGTTGTTGTCGTACCGTTGTCGTATTCCAGGCCAACACCAGCACGAGCTGCAGTCAATTGCTGTTGGCGGAGGGAGTTCGCTTCACTGCCATTTCCGAGGAGCGGGGCAGCAGCACCTCCCAGGTGGGGGAGCAGTGGGGGAGGGGGAGGGGGGGATGTGTGTGTGTGAGGCATGCATACATACATACATACGTGCATACGTGCATACCTACATACGTACATACATATATACACCACACTCTGCAGGGAAGCGACCGCGGTAGCTCCAGCGGCAACTCATCCCAACGGTCCAAGCTCGCCAGCAGCAGCAGCAGCAACGGCGGTAGCGCAAGCAACGGCGGCGGGAGCAACGGCAACCCGACAGCTGCCAGCAGTAGCCCCAACGGCAGCGTCGAGGAACAGCTGGCAATGCTGGGTGCCGCCGGCGCAGCGGCGGTCCTTGTGCCACCCACGCTGCCTCCGCCGCGGCTTGTTGTTGGCGCCGCCACCGCCGCCACCGCCACCGCCGCCGCCGCCGCCGCTGACGTTACTTGTCACTCGCCTTGGAGCCGTCTGGGTGTTGTGGCTGGCAGCGGTCACGGCGGCGACGGCGGCAGCGGCGGTGTTGACGGTTACGCGGCGGGGTCGCCAATTACGCCAACGCAGTCGCCATTCGCTGTTATGCAGCACGACGAAGTGATGTCGTCGCCGCCGCCGCCGCAGCGGGGCCGGCAGCGGCGTCCGCTGGCGCTACAAGAGCTTCATGCACCCCTTCTGGAGCAGCAGCGGGGGCGGCAGCAGCAGCGGCCGTGTGATGCGGATTGGCTTCGGACGACCCCGTCTGCGACGACGGTGATTGACGCTGGCGTTACGGCATTCACGACAGTTGCGGCCACGGATGTCGGCGTCGGCGTCGACGGCGAGGGCGCGTCATCGCGGAATCCGTTGCCACTGCGCCAGGAGCAGGAACGGGTTGCAGTTACGGCGGCGGCGGCGGCGGCGGCAGCGAGCTCCGCCGACGTAGCGACTCGTACAACCACGAAGCTGCCACTCTCAGCGGCGGCGGCGCCGCCGCCGCCGCTCCCGTCGGAGCTTCCCAGTACTGGACTTGCGGACGTTCTGGATGACCTTCGTCCCTCCTTGGAGAGCCACGGCCTGACGGAGAAGGACGCCGCCGCCGCCCCCTCCCGTACAGACGTTGCTGCGGGAGCGGTGGCTAGCTTGCTGCGCATCACGACATCACCTTCGGTTGCACGGTACCGCGACGTTCAGTACACCAGAGAGCCTGCCGTACCAGTCGCAGCGGCGGCGGTGGCGGCGGCTGCAGTAGAGCGTATTTCAACTCCGACTTCCGTTCTCGGACCCCATTGGTCGATTAATGAGCTGGCTACAGGTGATGGTTTCGGAGAAGACGTGGATTGTGCCGTACGCGATACAGGCGCCGCCGCTGTCGCCGGCGGCGGGTGGCAGCGTCAATCGCCCTATCAGCTACGGTCGTACAGGACCGCAGCGGCGGCGACGAGGTCTGATGCCACTGCCGCCGCCGCCGCCGCGGCCGCCGCCGCGCTCTCTGCCCTGGAGTCCTTCCATGAAGCCGCTTCGGCTGGCGGCTATCCCGACGACGCCGACGCGGCGGCGGCCTTCCAGTCCGCGACGTTTCAAATGGTGGGTCGAGCCCGTAGCGCGTCCGTTAGTCGTTCCGCAGGTCTTTCCAACCACCGCAACCACCACCAAAGCAGCTTTCCATTTCAGTCCTTGCATCATGTCCAGCATCGCCAGCGTCAACACAGCGCATGCCAGTACACCAGCGTCGACGCCGCTAGTGCCGACGGCGACGGCGACGACGACGGCGGTGACGATGTTCCAGTTTCGTGTCAAACCACCGCTCCCCAGCTTCCCGTCCTCGGACCCCCGTCGGGCGATGAGCATCACTCCATCCCAAGCCATCCCGCCGCCGCTCGCCGTACACGTCGCTTGTACGGCCTGTCGGAAGCAGTGCCGCCGCTGTCGGCGGGCTCTGCTGCGCGGTCGTGCTGTTCCGCGGCGGCAGCGACAGCGTCGGCAACCACAGCTGCAGCGGCGGCGTACGACACCAGCGGCGCCGCTGCGAATACGGTCACCACGATTGACCGGTCGTGGTCTATGGGTAGCGGCAGCGGCCCGTTGTACAGCTTGCTGCAGTCCACGTTGTCCAAGGGATCTATCACCGCCGCCACCACATCGACGGCGATTCCGACGCCGGCCTGCGACTCAGCCCAATGTTCCGGAACTCGATTGCCGATTGTTCGCCCGCTGTCGCCGCCGCCGCTGTCGCCGCTGCAGGCCTCGTCGGCAGCGGCGCCGCTGTCTTCACCGCAATCGCCGGCGTCAGCGGGTGCCGCTGCGAGTAGTACGGCAGGACCATCGCGCGTCGGCGTGCCTTGCACACAGCCTGAGTCCGGCGGCGGCGGCGGCGGCGGTCACAGCCGACGGCCAAGCCTCCTTCTCGCCGCCGATACCGACGCCGACGCCGTCGTGGTGTCGTCTTCCGCGGCGGCGGTGGCCGGATTGCTGCCGTCACTCCCCGCGGATTGTGCGTCGAGCTCCAGACTGGAGGGGTCGGCGTCCTTCTCCGTGACGTTGCATGCCCCACGATTTTCGGACTGGGAGCCTCAAGGGGCTGGCGCTGCCGCCATTGCCTCCGGCGTCAGCGTCGGCATCGGCGTCAACTCCAGCGGCAGCGGTTTGGGCGGCGCCGCCGCTGGCATCCCTGCTGCTGCCGCCGCCGCGGCTGCTGACGCGGCCGCCGCTGTCAATGCCGGTGCCGGCGGTGATGCCGCTGGCACCGGATACTCACCCAGCGAAGACTTGCCAAGCATTTCGACTATGGATACAACTGGGCAGTCTTTGTCGTACCTGTCACCGTACACCGTACACTTCACGCCGTATAGCCATCACCACTTCCATCATCGGCCACAGGCTCTGCCACCCACACGGCTATCACGAACGGGTGCTCCGCCTGCGGGTGACGTGGGAATGCTGGGTGCCTTGAACGCCCCCACAGCCCCCGATAGCCGGATAGCTTGTGGAGTCGGTATCTCCGCTGCCAGCGGCGGCG